GATAAGAACGTACATACATCCACACATAAGCATTCAAGCTCTCTAGCTTCCACATGCTTACATGTATATGTACAACCTTAATATCACTCATACGCCGTGTTTACCTTAATCGATTTATGAGTGTAGTAGTACTTCGTAGTAGCTTTATTAGATTATCAGTAAAATGGCAAGCCACAATCAACAATTACTAAACGAAAATACATGCCGTCACCCGCTTTTCCAGCAATGTAGTTGACCCAGTTTTGCCCAGCATTAGGTACACCTTGCGGCTATCGAATTGCGAGGGTGGTGCCGGTGACACTCGTCTATTAACCGAGATGTACTTAACAAGCAAACGACGACTAAATCGTCTAAATATATTTTTATACTATAGAAGTACGTATGTTTATGGATGTGGATAAGTGCATGTTAGAGTATGCGCATATGTGATGAGTTGGAGTATGCTGCCTGTTCTATGATAAAGTACACATTATTAAAAGTACAGGGTGTATAAAACTACTAGTGAACACGCGTGGCGTTAAAACGCCCAAAACTGAATTTCAAAAACTTAAAAAATATTCCAAATTTTTAGTCAGAATTATAAGAGATCCGAGTGCCATATTGCATCACAATCGTTTCAGAGTGAAGAGCAGTCTCGCATAGTGCATGTTTTAATTTGCATCGCTTCGTTAAAACAAATGGCAACCTTCCTAAGTAAGGGTCAGGAATAAATCCCTTTCAAACACATTTCAATTTATACCCATATTTTAGTCCATAAAACTTACTGAATAATTTGAATGTAACTTTTTAAATACGTGGCAACTCTCTTCAAACGTTCGAAGTGTTCAAACTAAAGATTTCTTACCATTATTTTGTTTGACTACGGTATTTTTATATTTCATATATGTACTTTTTGAATTGGTCAATCGAGTTAGAATTTTCAAACAGGTGGCAGCCCTCTTCAAAAGTATTTTCAATGTCAATTCTCCTTGGCCGGACACTTCGATACATATTCTAATTAGCTGATGAATTAAGTAGAATTTTAATTTTCAAACATGTGGCAACCCCGCTAAATACAGTTCAGAAATAAAAATTTTTTTCAAACCCCCTTCGATTGAAACCCATATTTTAATAATTCGCTTAACTTATAAAATAATTTGAATTTAACTTTTAAAAAAATATTCTTGGCGTTGAAACTAGAGATTTCTTAACACTCTTTCGTTTGACGTCCATATTTAGATATTTTTATAAATTGAGTATAAATTAACTAAATTCGCCATTTCAAGCTGGTTGCAAACCTCTTCAAAATATTTTCAAACTACCACTTTGGCACCCATATGGTATAAAAAAAAATATTTTTTTAAGAAAAAAATTACTAACCGACTTCTAAAAAATTAGCACATATCGTTGTAAAGTTAGAAGGACGAAATTCGAGGATGTCGTAGTTTACATACTAGTCTTTGTTATATAATTTTTTTTCAAAAATAAATATTGGAAATTTCCAAGGATATTTAAGGATAAAGTTTTAAAAGGATTTTTAAAACATTTATTTTTCCTGGTGCAACAAAAAATTAATTTTTTTTTTTAATTCTACAGAATTTTTCATTTTAACGGATACCCATATTGTGCACAAAATTTTTTAAATATTTTTTTTTTATTCAATTACATCCAGGAAACTTCAAAGTCCTTAAAAAAAACTTAAAAAAAAATTAAAAACTCAATTATACTATATTTGGCTCCTAGTTTAGTGAATATATTGATTTTTTCGTGTGTTTTTAAAATTTTTGATTTTGGTCGCACGTTGTTATATGTATATATAGATGCTAAGAGGGCAGTGACTATATTAACGAGTATTTAATAATTGTTTTAATTAAAACTTGTTACGTTACTACCATTCTCTTCGAAGATGAGAGGTTAAGAATGGATTCAATCGCGTAACTAATGAAACTCGACCAAAAACAACCGTAAAACGTATGAATATTTTCATTTTCAGATCACTGCAAATTCGTTATTTTTGATTTTTATTTTTTGGATCAATAGTAATAGACAAATTGTTTATTTTTATTTTCGGTCAATTAATTCTTAACCGTTATAATGAGACTGACCGCTACTTTTATGACCTAACAAATTATATCTGCAAATAAAGGCTACAATATGACCGATAAAATAAAAATTAAAAAAAAAAAAAATTTTTTTATTGTAAAACTAATAATTATAAAATAACTATTATTTTAGATCAAAAAAAGATTAAACTAAAAAAACGGATAAATTTGATACCAAAATTAGAATGCTGGACGGCCACCACGCAGAGAGGAGAAATACAAACCGGCAAGTCTTGGTTTTGATGAGCCGCTTGGGGCTTGCGAATTACTACAATGCAAAAAAAAGGAAATTTATATGTGTGTCTACAAACTATACATATGTATGTATGTAAATATGAATACAGTGTACTGGTTCGCGTAAAAATTATATAATATATTATTTTTCAATAAACATTTAAATATTTGTGAAATAACAGCGTGCACATTAGTTTAAAACATCTTTGAGCATTTTGTTAAATGGTTTTTATATATGCATACACACAACCACCTACCTAAATATGCCATGCAAGAAATTATGCAAGCTCAGAACTAGTCACGTAACTAGAGTTTGGACTAGATCTTGTTCCAGTTAAATATTTTTTACATGCAAATAAAAAATAGGCATATAAAACTTACATTTTAGTAAGGCATTATCAGAAACTACACCGGTCCATTGTGTACGAATTGAGAAAATTCCCCCGCAAGATGAAGGGACAACCAAGTTTCTCGATGCCGCACATAATATCTACATTTACACAGCGTTGCCCTATAAACTTATCCTTTCTATCACGCTTGTATCAACTGGCTTTCTTATTTATTTAAATTTTAGTATTATTATTATTATAGTAAAAGTTTGGTAAGATACAATATAGCTGGGATAATATATAGTTGTGGAAATGGAACGTAGAATATATAGGGCATACACAACTGGCCTAGACAGCGCCTTAAAATATGCAGCAAAAATTAGATTTTAAGCGCCCTATTGATGACAACTGTAAAGGTAATAGAGAATTTACATGGTCCAACTTTCGCAGACGATTAGTTGAACCAAAAGTTGAACGAAAGTGGGCAGCTGGCCAATTTCATTGCTTTAGTTGAAAGGTCGTTTACACCAGACAACTGCTACATTCAACTAAAAGTTGCCAGTAAACTCGGACATACACAAAAGTTGACCAACTAGGCTAAATGGCATAAGTGCATTGTTTATTTAACCATTTTTTTCATCGCAACTATAATTTATAGGTCAGCCAAAAACCCCGAAAATTGCAATAGGGGGACCAATAAAATATCGTTAATATTAAAAAATGGTTAAATAAATAATTGGGTATTATTTTTGATTTTATTCCGATCGAAAAATACTGATTTTCAAGAATTCTATATCATTTCTGCGTAAAGTTTTTTTTCCATATAAAAATACATACTTAGAAAACTTTGAGCGCTTTGAGCGTCCCCTAATTTTTTTTTTATTTCAAAATAAAAAATAGGGGTAAACTTTTTTTTCGATATAAAATAATCCTAGGGGGGTGAGAGCATTACAATTCACACTTTGCTTTTTTTTTGGACCACCCTAATGTACATATGCATATACCCATATACATATGTTGAAGGAGACAACAAATAAAAAATTAGAATATCGTTGAATTATTTTAAAATAAAATTTTATACATACAAGACTAAAAAGAAGAAGAAATTTAAATAAAAAACTCTTTGACATACCACGTTTCTGTAAATGGACCAAAAGTATAAAATAATTTCTCCTACATTTTGACTTTATAATTTTGACAATAGTTATTGTACAAAACTTATGAGATTTAAAATGAAAGCTTGAGTCTCGAAATGATATGAAATGTAATATATGTATGTACATACATATACCCAAACCCCGTTTTCTTACAAGTAGATGAAGCCGATCTCAAAATGATGCTTCCGCAGTAGAATTTTTATTATTTCTTCTACTTTCGATCTTATTTAGATTGAGGTCATTTTAAATTAAAAATTTTTGTAGTGATCTCCGAAATAACAGCTACCTACTATTTGTAAATTATTGTTGTTTTTCTACAATTTTTCATTTAAAGCTTCATGCCGCTCAAAAACATTATTGAATACTGATTATTTTAATTTAATTTTGTTTGCGTTACTTTATTACATTTTTTTTAGTTTTAATGCTTTTTAGTAATTTAATTATTTTTTAGTTCATATTCTATTTTTTATTTTTTTTTATTTTGTTTCATTATATTTTCTTGTTTCCTTATGGAGTCCAATGGGTTATAGTCGTTGTTCTGGGTATGCAATTACAGTTGTACGACTATACTTAATCTCGCCTCTTGCGACCTCGTTCGCGCACTCTGAAAGCCGTGAGCAACCCGTGTGCAAGATGCGATTACCAATCCGACTCGTTCCTTGGCTTACTGAAGTCTGCAGCATATGTTCACCAGTAGGTGCGGATGCAAGCGGGCGTCTGTCTGGGAACAATCGGCTAGCTATATAAACGTTTATTCGGTATTAAGAAACCACCAACCCCAGATATAGGTCGTGCGCTGGGTATAAACCGCGGCTAGTGAAGAAAACAAGCTAAGCATCGGATGAAATAAGTATACATATACATACCTATTCTATTCTGCATTTTTTTAATTTATCTTATTTTATTTTGTTTGATTTTTTGTACTCCTTTTTATTTGTCTTCATATTTTTTTATTTTATTTTATTAAAATTAATTTTTTTTTTTTTCTTAAGCACACGCCAATGAATTTCCAGAAACAGTCCACCTCACTTTTGTCCTTTAGTATCACATACACATCCTGTATTTCCCCCAACAGATGTCCTAATTTCGCGTTAACGCACTCGTCACTTGTCGTACTCTTCCTGGCAGAAATAGCAGTTAGTCGCATCCGAACCACCAAACCGTCAACGTTCAAATCACGGTTAATACAACGTCAACACAAAAAAAATAAAAATAAAAATCAGATCAAGTAGCAAATTCAGAAGCAATTAACACTGCAATTTGCAAGCTTTTCGCTTTCGTAAGTTAACGCAATATTTTGAGTGTAAATTATAGAACGCGCAAATAAATTAAATATAATTGAAGTAAAGTGAACAAATTGTAGGAGGCCAAACCTATTTTTCCACGCTGGCGCTTGCCAGCAAGTGCTGGTATTTTATTGGCTTTGTGGGTGCGCCGCACTCGAATTCAATTAAAGCTGCGACAAACGATAACGGTTTTGTGCGTAAAGATAAGAAAAATTGTGCGCGGTTTTGTGAAAATTTTGTGAATTTTTCACACGATTATGTAAGAGTGAAAATTTTTCGTTGAAAAATATAAGAAAAAATTTATTTTCATCTTACCACAGCGACCTCTATGCTGGATACTGAATTTTGTCTGTATACGCGGAGCAGCCGTCACCAACCAACGAGATGCGGAGTCTGCGTCCAAGTCAAAAGTGGAGCATACGCTGCACAACAACAATGCAAACAGCTGATTATCAGTTACCCACTGTCCGGCTGTTCATATACATATGTAGCTAACGCTTATCAATGAAAACAAAACAGCACACAAATTGGGGGTTGAATTTAAAGGCAAATACGAAAGTATTGGTCTCACACATGCAAAGGATTAGAGAAAGTTGGGTTGAGTATGGGGGGGGGGACCACTTACAATTATGAGTGTTTGTTATTATAAACGCTTATGAATTGAGTCGGCGCACGCGAACACCTGTTGCCAACTGTTGATTTACGAGCGCAATTCAAAGGAAAAACCCCACATCCACTCACCTTAGATAATAACGGCTGCCGACAGGCAAAGAGCAACAGTTGGCAATTACATATGTATGTATGTATGTAATACTTTGCAAGAGCACTAAAAGGGGATTAAATAGGCTGTTTGGCTTTAGTGGGGGTCGTTGGCATTCGAATATGCCACAAATACTTATACATACGTATATATGTATGTATGTGTGTATGTTTATGGTGTTGACTACGCATCTTTTTGTTGCTCATTCACAGCTAGCTCAAATATGCCGCTGAGCGCCAACAGCGCCCCGAAATACCAATAATTCAGTGTAATAAAAAATGCCACAAAACACAATGGTCACCAACACAAATACAATACACAATAATTTCCATATAAATAATAATGAGGAATATGACATCGATCAGGATGATGGCATGCAGGATCTGGGTTTGCCGGTATCTGTGCAAACGTTTCTATGGCGTCAGATTGCGCCTTTCATAAGGCCAAAATTAGGCAAATTGCATGAGGCTAGTTGCATGGTGAGTTTTTTTTTCAATAAACACATTTGTAAATTTTCTTATTTTATGACAAAAAAAAACCATCAAAGATTATATTTGTTAAGTGTAAAGAAGTGGCTAAAAACATACATATACATACATACGTACACAATTAAATGTGTAAAACCGAGCAAAGTCAATGAGACTACTACTACCTTTTCGATGTATGTACCTTCGAGTATTAAAATTTGGAGTGGAAGACGCGTAAAAGTCAAGGAAGCACTTGTAAATATGAAATGCAAAGTAGAAAGCAGGGCTTCGGAGCACAGGTTTTTCAACGGTGCGCTCTTGCGCCACTCCCACTCCCAATAAAACAATTTTTTATTTACATATCAAGTCCTAACCGTCAAAAAACGTAGACGACATTTTTTGAAAATTTTCTTTTGATACAGAAATACATCTGTATATACACTGTGTACACTTGTGTACGCTTTTGCATAAAAAAAAATTTTTTAAATGTCCAAGTTAATTAAATAGAATGGAAGTTTATTTAACACGGTTATTTTCAGTGGCAAAAAATAATAATTTAAGTAAATTTATTAACTCAATATTCTCTTAATTTTTATTGAGGAAAAACAAAAATAAAAATATTTTGAATAAATTGTTACTAGGCGAGAAAATAACACACACATAATATAGATTTTTTTAAGCAGCAAAGGAGCAAACTATTTTTTAGCTCTTTGGTCCAGCTTTGCTCCAGCTAAAATCCTTTGCTTCTCAGCTCCTTGCTCCTTTGCTGCGCTTCGCTTCGCTCCGAAGCCCTAGTAAAAAGCATATTTCGAAGCAAACACTTTGAGCTGTAAATAAACGCAAAAAAAATAAAAAATAAAAAAAAATTAAAAATATTTAATTTGCCAAATTCGCTAAGCTATCTGTAGTCTTTAATACAAATTTACGTGTCTTTAATTTATGCATACTTTTCTGGCTTAAAACCTACCGGCAGACATGCATCTTGTTTCTTTCTATCTTTCCAACTTTCTATCTCTTTATTTTACATACATATGTACATATGTACACACATAAATATATCTTTTGCGACATAATTGTATCATCCAATTGCTTACACATTATCATATGCTACACATGCATACATATACAAGTATATGTATATCTGTTGAAACTGTACAAAACTATGGTATTCTTTTTTTTATTTTTTGCTCTTTTATTACGATTTCGATCATACAATTTAACAAACCACAACGACATTTGAAATGCTCATTATTATGTGATTACTTGTGCTACTCGTATTTGATGTACAATAGTTTTGTCAACATGCACCGGGACATCATGTAAGTCAACATGCTTAGATTCACATACATACATATATGTATTTTCGTAGTTGAGTTTATTGTAGTTGGAAAAAATAGTAAATAGAAAGTATGAACATCATTTGTTAGATACTCTATGAACTACTATGTGTATGTCGGTATTTTCTGACAGCATGAATTGTCTCCAATTAACTCCTGTCATACAATACATTTGCAACTCCATGGAAAGCTTTTTATGTGGCTCCTATTTGTTGTTTTTTTTTTTTATTTGCTTAAGATTTTTGGAGAATTTATCGCCACCACTATTAGAAAATTAGAAAAGACCGGTAGTGTAATATTTCGTGGAATTACCTTATTACGTTTGAACTTACATAGTATTAGACTTGTTCGCTTGTATATAATAAACTCCGAAAACTACCGCTACTTGGTAAGCAGGGGTGGTTTTATCCCAATTTCAAATATTTTCGATAAACTTATATAGTTATATGTGGGCGGCATAACGTCCATTTTCCAAAATTCCGTAATAATGTTACTTCTTCTCAGTCAATTGTTTTTAGTAACAATTTTATGTAAATTAGCGTCCTTTGATTTGGAAATACCGAAGTTTCAAGCATTTCTGAAATTTACCGTTTTATAAAAAGTGGACGTAATTTTAGTCTGATTTCAATAATTTTCAGCGTTTTGCTTTTATGTGGCATGCATAATTAGAATTCCGAGTTTGGTACGAATTGCTCGATGGGTTACCGAGTTGCACATATGTGATCATAAGTGGGCGGTGCCACGCCTATATTCCAAACTTTTATCAAAAACGTATTTTGTGCTAAATAATTATTGCAAACATCAATTTTGAATAAATTAGTTTCGGTATTTACTGATTTATCGAAGATTTCGTATATCTCTAAATTACCATTACACACCTTTTTTTTAAAGTGGAAAAAATGTTATTAGCTGCCACGCATTTCGAAACTTTTTGAATGAATTGCATTGGACAAGATTTATTAGTTTTTAATCAGCCCAAAACAATATGGTTTTGTCACTGATCACTCTACACTTACTAATCTTGCTGTTTTTATCTGTTCCTACTTGGAGTAGGCAGTTATCATTTGGAGACCGTTTGACCAACCTTCGATGTGTAGAATTTAAAGTGTTCAAAAAATATTTCTTAAACATGCATTACGTTGCCTACGGCTTGAGGCTCATATTCCATCCTACGATTCTCGGCTTATGCTCATTAATCTGGACTTTGAATGTTTTTAATGGCATCACTGAATCCCCAGTTAAGCTTTAATGTTCCACAAAGAAATTTTCGCAGTTTTTATCCTTCTTAGATGAAATTTTTAAGACTAAAATTGCGAGTAATGCCCCTATTGAATGTGCGCTTCGGGAATTTAAAGCATTATCTAATTCGAACCTACTTGATTTCCCTTTATCCAGATACAATTTTTTAAAATACTAAATTTAATTGCTTAATATGGTATTTATATTTCAATAATATTTTAATTGTCCAATTTGGCTTCTTTATGTATTTGTCTAGTCTGTAAGGTACTTTGTACTGTAGGTTAATAAATAAAAAAAACTAATTAAATTTGGACTTTTCGTGTCAGGGAGTATATTTTGCTGCTAATCCTGATGAATGCAGTGGGACCTGCTCTGCACCATTCGTACGGGTTTTGTGCTGCCGCAGAAGAGCTCGGAAGTGACGCAGATTTATAGCCCATTTAATTCTAGCATTTAATTAATTAATTTAATTAATCTAATCTATATGTATAAAAATCAAATGTTTCTCGTATGACGGCGATGCCTGACCAAACACTGGTCCGATTTCAATTCTGTAAAAAGTAACTTTTTTGTTGTTTTAAAATTCCTTCCGAAATAAGCTTTCTACCGGAAAAGTGCAGCTATACAAAACTGCGAAGCGAATAGGCAGACTAATTTTAATTAAAAAAAAGAAAATAGTTTATCTCCTTTAATTTATGCTGAACTGCTTATGTGTATTACCGCTTTATATTTCGATTTGTTCACCCCGAACGACGCCGGGTGCGCTGCCTCCAAAAATTAAAAATGTCCTTTCATTTTGTACCTTTCAAAACATGCGTATGTATTTAGTAAATTAAAGTGTTCATATCTTAACTTTGCATGCTCTTGTTCTATTGCTTGTTGTCTATTAAATATTTCAGTAAATGTTTTTTGTAGTTGAAGTTCATACCATATTTTAACCAAAATAAATAGCCTTAATAATTACTTTTATTTATTTATTTATATTCATTGCAATATTTCAACAGGAATCAAAGGAAGCTTGCAAGGTAATAACTCATTTCGTTCGGTTTTTTTTATTTCATTTCCTCCTTGACTGAACTCATCATATCTATATTAATTTCGTAACTTTAATTTTATCACCTGAATTGGATGGCAATTACTTTTTAAAAATATTTGTAATCCTCGCTAGATATTTTTCAAGTAATATGCAATTTACAACAATTAATTGAGCTAAAATTATACAAACTCAAACAATTTAAAAAAAGGAAACATTTTCAAAAATTTTTTTCACATCCATTTTCTCCACCTCCACGCCAACGACACAGTCCTTTGAAAAAGTACTGGTACAAAACATCCAATTCGGTTTATCGCCGCCGCTCACCAAAGCGCTGGGGGCTATACCACGCTGGCGACTACTGCAGGCAGCGCTACCACACGTAATGCACTGTGTTGCCGCCTTGTTGCACAATCGTGTCAAAGATATGCAAGCAATTGGACCAGTCGAAACGAAATTACTCTACACCATGCAGTGGATATTGCTCTACGCCGCCGAGGAATGCGCTGATGATGAGGGCGGAAATGAAATTTTGGGTGATGAGACACCCAAACAGAAATCTGTGGAGCAATATTTGTTTTCGGTGCCTACGATAACGGTACAATTAAGACAGCATCAATTTTGTTTACTGTTAAATATGATGTAAGAAATACTTTTATTTAATTATTTCTGTTTTATTTTTTAGCTCTTTGTATACCTATTCGCACCCATCATACACCATTTGAAAGAATCAGACTTCCAAAATTTCCGCTTAGAAAATGGCATTAAGTTATGGCAGGGTATGTGGGATAATCGCGCACCGGGGGCACCTTGTTTTACGGCACCTGTCAAGCCAAAGGCGCGTAATTTGCTCTGCGCGCCCACACCGAAAGGTTCGACGGATATGTTTCCTGGACGTGAGTAACATATATATACACCTATTGCATGTAGAGTATGCACAATCATAACAATAAGATTCGTTTGAAATTATCTAGGCAAGCAATCATCCAATGCAGATGTAGCCACCTCACCAAAACTAGATTCGCCGCAGAGTCAACTATCAGAGCACACCAGGCAAGACGAAGAAGTAAGCTTGTCGATCTTATGCCTAAATCACTCAAATCTTACACGCTGTCATGCTACTTTTTGCAGAACTCATGGGTCTCTTCGCCCAAAGAATTTGCTTTTCCCGAGACCATACCCGAGGAGGCTTCAAGTGTGGAAGATGAACGCGTAGTCATTTTTCGGCTGCCCTCCGCGCCACATCTAATGGACAACTCGTTTTTTACGGTAAGCACATGAATGTGTGCCACCTTTTACTACTCGATTCACACTGGTCTTTTTCGCTCTGGTTCTGCTTACAAAGGCCGACGCCAGCTTACTGCAACAACAACAATTGCAAAGTCGTCGCGGCAGCCGGCAGTCGGTACACTCACGTGACAAAGATAAACCAGCCACAAAGTTCGAATTCGATCAACAAGAGCTAATGCGTGGTGCATCGGTAAAGGATAGGAGTAGTCCATCATTAGAGAAGGAGACCGAATCAGATAAGTCTGATAGTGTGCGTATGGATGTATCGGCGGCCACATTTCTTGATGTAGCCGTGTTACGTTGCCTCTTCATTTCGCACTGGCAGGAAGAGGGCATTTTCTGGAGTCTACAATACATGTACAATCGGTAATTATAGTTAAAACTCGTATTAGCACGAAAAAATAAACAATAGTACTCAATTATCAATCGCAGCCTAAGCGAAATCGGTGAAGAGGCGGCCATTAGTTTGAATCAGCCACGCAAACGATCCAACTCGCTACCCATACCACAAATCGAGATTTCACTGTATCAAGGTCCGGGCAGCAATAGTCGCGATAGCCCAAGCAGCTCAGTGGCTAAAGATTACATCGAAATACCGGAACCAGCGGTAACTAAGCAAGTTGGTAAGTTAATTCAACAGCTTGCGGTAAATACACTTTTGAAAATTATTTTTTATATTTTTTTCTTCGTAGAAGAGTCCAGTCCCACAGCGGAACGCCGCGGCAGCGAGAAGAAGAAGCGCGTCAAAATGGCTGATTTGCGTGCCTTTGTCGAAACGAAAATGTTCTCGAAATCCGAGAAGAATCTTGAAAAAGTAGGCCTAGAAACAAGCTCTGCTAATGGCAAGAGACCACTGCAACATGCAGTAAGATTGAACTAAACTAAATCTTCTTTTTTTTTTTGTTCTGTTGTACTACTGCTTTTTATTTATTTTTGCTATTGCTAAGTTTTTATTTACACGGCGTTTACACTTATCTAAGAGCTTAACTGTCTCCCTTATATTTTAAAAACGAATATATTCATAAGTTAATAGTTCAATTACTTTTGCTGATTATTCTCATGCATACTGCTTAACTATCGCAAGCATTGCCAAACTGATTAATTCTTTTCACCTTCCCGAAGGAATATCATCGCAGTCTGGATACGGGCGAGAAGAAATTATCACGCTCAGCTTCAATGATTACCAGAGAGCCAGCAAGTAATCTTATTAAAGGAAAATCAATGCCAAGTTTAAGGTAACCACTAAAGCGATTTTGCTCGAAACTCTTTTTGCGTATACTCGTACATACATAGATATTTTATCAAAGTTTACATAGAAAAAAAAACATGCATAAATACATACATTTAGAAGCATAAATAAGTAGCTATACTCTGTTACTTATTAGTAAATACTACAACAAACACATAAATACATATTTCTCATTGTAGCTGTAATTTCTCATGTAAGCTGTAATTTTAAAGCTCACTTTATATTTAAAGCTTGCATTAAAATTTATGATTGTGTCTAAAGTAAAGCATTTTATTATCGGTTTTAAATTGGTTTACAATCAAGCAACATACTACACTCGCCAAAAATTGATAATAGAAATGCTTAACTTTAGATATGGCTTTATTTTTTATCCAACCTTTATATATAAAGTGAGCTTTAAAGTTAAAGGTTATTTCAGAAAACGGCCCTTAGAGGTTTGGGTCTACCTTTTCAAAATTTTTTCCTTAAAAACAGTGCTAAAAAATTTTCATTCACCCTTTCTTCTTCTGGAACTAGTTTAGTCACAGGGAGACACTCTTTCACAAAACTGCGACGTCTGGCATGTGTGTGCAACACGGGAGCTGCGGTGCGTCCACGACCGACGGCAGCGCTGGAGTTAATTCTCTACCGTGAGCCCATGCATATTACCATAGAGCAGGCAGCCAAGCGTACACTCTTCTGATTTTCGCAAGAGATGGCTTGCTAGGGTCCCAGCTTCCTCTAGCTCTTTTCCACAGATATAAGGCATACAAGGCAGTTGTTTTTAATTCGGCTTTTAAATAGAGCTCTGGAACAACTCAATTTTTGAGGGACATGAACTGGCTTAGAAACACCAGAGGTCATCGGGGTTCGCATACAATCTATGTGCGGAGTTTAACTTACGTAGAAACTACCGTAATGAGAGAATATGAATTCATAGCGACAGTCGGTTGGCGCTCTAGGCACTCCACTCACAACTAGAAGAGTTATAGGCTTGTCGCAGGCATCCTCTCGGGATGGTGCAGTTTAAGAGAACATCTGTACAGGTCAGAAATCTTGTCAAAAGACCTATGCCGCTTTTCCGCCTCTACTAAGGAGATAACACTGCACCTACTTCTAGAGTGTGGCGAGACGATGAAACAAATGTCTTGTCTCAATGCAGCCGGAGGACTTCATGCCTCCAAAAGTTGTTCTAGACTGACTGTGGAGTCTAGGATGTTATTACTAAGCGGACGATGTTTTGTATCCCTAGGATAACTCTCTAGCTCAGGCAGTGAAAGGCACTGTCATCTTCCTCAACACTCCTACTTTCTCACCTACCATCAACATGGAGTAAAGTCAAAGTGGGGAAAAATTTGGCACAACTCCTAAGGGCGTATGTGAAATTCAACCCGCATATCAGGCAATACTGCAATAACATAGCCTAGCTTAAGTTATTGAAAATGCATTGCAGTAGTTTTGAGTGCATTCCTGAACATATCGGATGCTCTTGACAATACGTCTTATGAAGCAACATCGACAGATATGATAAGGAAGGATATCCCAAGCTTTCTGGCTGATTGGATCATAAACATGATGAAATCCAGAACTATAATTGCGTTACTAGGAGACATTAAGCAAGCAGTAACTGCAACCCGTGGCTGTTTTTAACGGCAAGTCTCCCTTGACTTTGGACACTGGTTGTTGATGAACTCCTGGAAATGCTAAATGGCGGTGGTATCACGGTATATGGCTATGCAGATGACCTTGTCTTCTTCGGTGTTGGCGGGGATGAGGACAATATTTGCTCCAGATTGTAAGCTACGCTCAGATAACCAGTGCGCTGCAAAGGGCTTGTCAATAAACCCATTGTGAAGGAGAGTCAACTTGACTAGACCCACCTTGCCAGGGATAGAAATTGGAATTCTCAGATGGGGAGAAGTAGGGGAGCTCACATCTCTCGTACCCTCTTCGACCCTATTAAGCTGGCATTTCAGGGTACTATTTTATATATATATAAGGAAAATTTGAAAGTTAGGGGGAGGGGGGGCTCGAGCACCCCCCCTGCCCCTACCTGGCTACGCCCATGGTTATGCGCACTGCCGGAAGTCAACGGGAACGAAACAATAAAACAGATTCAAACTCCTGCCCGGAGTCTTAGAACTCTTACAGGCTGTCTGACAGGATACTGTAACTTAAGGTACCATATGAATAGAATGAGGCTTCCTGTAGAGTGGAACTTCATTTTTGTGGGCTGGCGAAGGAAACCTCATAGCATATTATATGTGGGGCTTCGAACGCATCTATAATCATAGACTGATACACCTCGGGGAACGATTTGGAAAATGCCACCCTCCAATGTGCTTAGTTTCTTAAATTGCCTAAGATTGGAGTGACTACTATTGGGGTATAGCACAATAGATCTTTTTATGTCGCAGCGAGAGTAAACACGACATTATAATAAAAATAAGATTCCCAAATAAGGTATAGCTATTGATCGCAGTTGGAGGACGAGAGTACTCGGGCAGGTTGGTGGGGCACATACCAACCATATTCCGATCGGACGTCTTCACAACATCTATCTAAGTATTTGACTTTATCAAAAATCCCAATCTTCAAAAGTTATATCCCCTGACTTGGATATCGCTGCGTACTGTGTTAACTATACCAGTGCAGATGTTTATTAAGTTTTTCAAAACTAAAATTTAGTAAAAAGCAAGGGAAATTCCGTTTTAGTAGTTTTCCTTGTAGATACGGAATCCTACTATTAATAACTGTAAATATATATATTTGTACATACTTGTATTGTAACAATAGGGCACAGAATTCAAAATCATTTTTTTTTTTCATTATAAAATATAAAAAAAGCGTCAATGCATGATCCGTACGGGGTGCCTAATTAGTTAAGGCCGGCCCTGATCGTAATGGTATAAATGCATTTATATATTTGGCTGATATGTATGTAAATGTTTTCATAATTTATGATTTTAGGAAGAAATATTTAGCTAAAAATTGTCTTTAATTCCAAAGTAAATTTTCTGAATTTTTGTTCTCAAAAAAATTCAATTTAAAACCCACTACTCCTAAACGATCATCAATTTTGATAGTTCCAATTCATTCTTTGAAAATCACAATTTAATCATTTGCGCTAATATTTCTAAGCCATAATAAATTTCGACTAACCCCAGTGCCTACCTAATCGATAATTACTTTCGTTTAATTGATTAATTGTAGCTACCAATCGTCTGAAAAACATGTTCATATCTTATGTGAACGCAGAAAATCAGAAGGCTCCGCGCTTCTATCACGAGTGAAAAATAATGCCTCGACTCTACAAAAACTGTTAGTGCTGATATTTGGTTTAAAATTTTACCTACAAAAAAATTTTAAATTTCTATTAAATAGCATTAGCACATTTTTTACTCAATAAATACATTTTTTGCTAGTTGAATCCTGCAGTCCTTTTTTCCAAAATAAATATACTCGTACCCTATTTTTCCTGTAGTTAATTTTTAAGGTTTTTTAAAACATTTTTTTTTTTTTAATTCATAAACCAATTTTTATAATAAAAAATTTCAACCCATACATTTTTACAAATACATATTTACTATTATTGTACACTGGTGTTTATGGACACATATGCATAAGAAATTGTCTAGTGCTAAACTAACTTATGAATTTAATATTCACATTTTTAGAAAATTACATACATACACACGCATTGAAATGAAAACTTTTTTAACACTTTGTAATCAGCGAAAACATAAAATATTGAAAGTTTTTAGATGCATACTCGTATGTGCTCCAATATTTCCTCAATTGACCAACCACTTACCGGCACCTTTTTTTTTGAATACAATACTCACCAAACTACACCAAAAACGCCAATCTATGTAAATCCAAACCTTTTTATTACTATGTATTTCTTACTAAATCTTTGCACTCTTCTCTTAACCTTTAAATATCCAAAGCTGTCTTCTTGATAGCGGGTGAGTCTTCTCCATACAGTCAACATATTTCTCGTTGCATTTGGGCTTGCTTTTTTTTAAACAAAAACCTATCAATATAAATATGTTAAATTCTTATATTTACTTTAGAACTTCTTTATGTACAAGTAGACAAATTATTCGAAAAGTTTTAATATTCGTTAGACATCGGAAATTTTATATCCAACACTATTTGCAAGTCTGCCTCTCAACCTATAAGGATGTGAAGTAAATAGATTACTAATGAAAGCTATGAAAGATGAGCCTGTTTTGTAAACATTCCATTACAATCCAGAAAATTTAAGTTTACCTAACCTAAAAAAAGTTTTGTCATTGTTTGGAGAGATCGCTTCATCGCTCCAAAATCCAATTGACATATTTACTAGTTTATTGCTCTTAGACTTATATTAGAGAGATGACACCTAAGGCTTATTACCTTGCCAGCGCTCTTCGAGCTGACTAGTCGCCCATATGTCAAGAAGTACACCAAACGAGGTCAGGGGAGCACCCAGACTTTCTCTATTCAGGAGCACTTGCACAAAGGTTCCCTGTCTTGCCAGCTCATCGGTCATGCAGTTTCCATCGATAACACCTTCGCTATGACCCTAAATCCAAATAAGCTTTATAGCGTAGTAATCCGATGCGATCGATCAGAAAATCAAACAATCATTCGTCGTTCTCGAACAAAGCAACAAGGAGCCGAGAGCCTTGCTACAAAGGTGTTACACCAGAAAGCAACCAGTCCGAAGCCTTCTTTATTGCGGCTAACTCTGCTCGGAAAACGTTACAGTGATCCGGTAGCCTAAATATCTGGTTGATGAAGAGTTCTTCGCTGACGACACCTCCACTAACCTTACGGTGAATATGGGTGATGAAAGATTCATTTCGACCTAAAATCAGCGTGCAGTGATCTACGGGCAGTTAGATCGTATTGATCGACCCGAATCGTAGGCGCGTCCGTTTCTGGTCCTGAGACCATGATTTTATTGGTCATGCGACTTTTATTTTCTGCTTGGATAGATCCCTGGTTGACAAAAGAGGTCATCAGTAGGTTTATCTTGCCTATCCGTTAGGTATATTTCCGGATACAGAGTCACAAGTTAGTTCAATACTCGCCTTGGCTAGAGCTGCAGCTTTATTTTCTTTCCACTTACATCTCTTCAGCTGCCATCCGTTTCAGCATCAGCAACACAGAACTTTTCTTCGAATATACTCTTCGGGTATACACCAGGTTTGCGGTTCCGTCATTATTATCAGTGTTTGAGTTGAAAAAGAACCATTTAGCACATTCGCAACATTGGTTGCTCCAGCGTTCTGGAATGCTAGCTCACGCTCCACCGACGCTCTGGATGCCCGTCTTGGACGTAAAATACGCTGAATATAAATAATTTCTAGGGCGCGGATGAGTATTTTGTTATATGTAAAGTGTTGGATGTAGAATAGTATTTCTTTAAATAATCACTTTTCATTGGGACAAGAAAATTGCTTACGCATTTTTGAGAAGTTAAATTCGTTATTAATAACAAATAATGTAATAGAACGACTTTACCACCAGTAGAGTTGGCTGATTTTGCATATATAAGGAATATCCGCTAAAGTCAATTTAAAGCAAACTTCGGCTGCATGCTACTAAGTACTAAGGAAGGAAAATGCAAATGTTTCTTCTACAAAATAATGTCCTTGACTTTATCGGTTATAATCGGTTAATACATATGAATTAGGGCTGGGTCCATCCGAATATTCGGATATTCGTTTGAGTAATCGTGTATACGTATAAAATCCGGATATTTGGTTCCCATTTTTATCCGATATCCGGTTAATGCAGCTACTCTTTGTGTATCCGGTTTATATCCGTTCATTTTGTTATCCGTTTTTATCAGATATTCAAAATATCCGGATTATTCGGTTACTCAAGGAATTCGAATAGAACTCCCAGCCTTAATATAAAAACTTATCTTTATTTTGCCATCCTTATAGACTTATTTCCCTTTTTATCTAGCACTTTTATCTAGCCAAGTTTTGCCTGATTTGCGTCTTTCTTCACAGCTTTTTGCACCAACCACTTTTTGCCTGTTATTTTCTTGTTACCTACTTCTTTGTCCCATACATACATAGTATTACATACTCACGCCCAAATTCGGTTCAGTTCAATGGGCTTGTATGCAATAATCGTCGCCGCACTGCCGCACATCACAATCATCACAACTAATTGCGCGTATTTTGCATTTGTTCAAAATTACCAGATTTTACAGGTATGTGGAGCCACCGAAAGCAATGCGTCCCTCCCAGTCCACCGGACAGCGCACGACATTCTATCCGCGCAATCCCATAATCACCGTAACGGAACATACGCCTACACCGTCGCCAGATTATCTTAAGCGGCAGGTTAGTAATCGCCGGAAATTTTGCAGAAACACATTCGCCTGCTAACATACGCACACACTGTACATACAAACATAGCTTGCTATTAATTTGTTATTTTCACGCGCCTTTGCAATAAATCATTTATCCTTTTGCCGCTCCATTGCAGGGCTCCATTGACTCCCAGTTGGATGCACTGAGTAATGGTGGTAGTATTAGCGGTGTGGCAGGCGGCACAACTGGCAGCGGTGGCGGTGTTAGTGGCACCGGTACCACGACTAATCGCTTCCGCGGTCAAATGCTGCGTTCGCACACCGACTCACACATCGATTACACTGGCGTAGACGAATCGGAGGCACCTGGCAGCTCCTTCTACATTACACGCGATGGTGGCATTGACTACGAAATTGTTTTGTTAGCAGTTTTCAATATCTTCAAACGAGATATGACCATTTGTTCGCAGCGTGTATTGGAAGCGGGTTTGAACATTTGTGAACTATTACTGGAAATGGGTGTACTTAAGCTGGGTGAGCATGCGCACGAGATATCGATGGGTATTATAAAACGTGCGCTACTGGTGTTGGGCTGTCACAATGGCTGTAATGATGGTATGCGCCGATCTAACTAGACTACAAGTGCACTAATGTTTGTGCATAGTTAATGCTTTAGATAATTGATGCATTTCTTCTTATACAGGCGTACGCGGCCCACCGGCAGATTTTTTGCGCAGCCAATGTCAAAAGATACTTACACGGATATTACGTCAGGCTAGCCATCGTACCAAACGCTACTTACAAGAAATGGTAAAAAGTACAGACTTACATGAATTAGTGGACTTCTTCCATGCCTTTGTGGCATTTTGTGTGGATCCAAGTTCATTATTATCACCGCTGAGTGAGTCGTTTTATGCCATTAACGCTTAAGTATATATGTATGTATATGTATGATTAGGGGATTCCCAAGGTGTCATAACAATCGTATTGTCGTTAGGTTGTGAATTTTAGGTAAAAGGGTCAAAAAAGTTGTTTGCTGTTGCTGCGAATTAGCTAAAATTGTTATTAACGGTAATAAAATGTATGATATGACGATAATAGGCATCATTAAGACATCTTGTGAATTCCATAAATAGTTAACGAGAATAGTATGCTTAGTTCCTGCATGTTTCGAAACTTAAAAGTATATTTCTTTTCAACTAAAATTGGGTCATATGAAAGCTTTTGCGAATTTTTATTACAATGTAGTGTTGATGGCCATACAGCTAGCAACACTAAAAGAAATGCGTCAAACTGACCTGCGTTTGAAAAATGCAATTTCAGGCTGTATTTTTAGTGTAGACAGTTCTGTAATTCGCGTGCTAAAAGTTATATTGATTTGAAAATTAGTGAAATATCTCAGATGCCAAATCACACACACATAATTATGGCAATTTGCTTCTTGACTGTTTTTTTAAGAGCTAGATGCTATATAGCCAAGATCTAGCATCGTCTGACTTCCATTTATTTCGGTTTTTGCAACCAAAACCTCTTGAAGTTAAAAATTGGCCGATCGAAGAGCCGCTTAAAATCACTTGGCAAAAGTGCACAGATAATAATAGCCAATGATTAAATTTGATTTTTAATACAGATTTTGTTTTTTTTTCAAAAATTTACGCACAAATTCGAGCAAACTTTTCATATGATTCAATATGCATTTGTGTACATACATATGTAAATGTTCAGACTTGAGCTGTCAAGTAAGGCAAAGGACTTAAGTAACTTATGGCCATATTATAAAAGCGTTCCAGCAGACAAATTTCCTGTCATTTCCTGTAACTGAGTGCAATTTCGTGAGAGTAAAATGTGTTTACTCTCAGTATGAAGTTGCAGAATTTAGTTCGAAGTTTTTCTTCCTGCAAATTCATGAGAACTGTCAAATGAAGAGCAGTGCTGCATTCGTAAACAACAAGTGAAAGAGCTGATGCAATTTATAAGATATATTTTTAGCAGAATAGAGGCCAGTTGTACAAAAATAACGAAAACTTTTGAGAATTAAAATGTTGTGTGGAAGAATTTTCGCCGGAATAAATAATTCTGTAACAAACATCTGGCATTTATACACCTGCAGGAAAAATGGTTTTTCTGCGTTCCAGCAGTTTTTCTCAGTTCTTCGAACGTTGTTCACTCTTGTGAGAGATATTTTGCTTTTTGACAGTTCAACAGGTTTTAGTCCAAAAATGGCTGGAACGCACCTTATTTATGGCGACTGATAGCAAATGGGCAACCATATACTAAAATTCGCATTACTTATGGCTACTGACTACTGACTGAGTCTGGTAGCGCAATTTTCTGTTTCCCGCTTATGACGATTTTGTTATTTGTTAACATAAATTGATCAGCTCATTGGAGCAAAGTTGCCAAAAAAGTAAGTTCGGATGATGTCTTGATTTTCTATATACTGAGATTAATCGCTATACATAATACACAAGTATTTTTTACGCAAAATTTTTTAATGACCCAATGATCGGATCTAAACTAGATTAGTATGAGACCACCTCTGAGACACTACTTTTCCGATGCAAAAAGAATTATCGAAATCGGTTGACGTGGTCCAAAGTTATGCGGTAACAAACATACAAAAAAAAAATCCGACGAACTGATAATCTCCTCCTTAATTTTAATCCTCGATTAAAAATACTGGTAGACATGGCTACTAGACCAGCAACTAGACACCAGTCGCCATACATAATAGGGCCATCAGATATCAGCAGTTGATATGAGACTCTTACAAACAGATCCCGCAAAGAGATTGTAGGAGCAACTACCCAGCAAAAAAATCGGTAATCTCTTTTAGTGGTAACGTGTTCTAGCAAGCATAGCGTTATAATGCCTTCGAATTTTTTCGCTTCTTTTAGGCATTGCCGGTAATGCAAAGTAGAATGTCCTACAATATTTTTTTTTTCGCTTCTTTCGATTTTTAAGTAAAATCCAAATACATAAATACATACATATGATTTATAAAAATTTTAATTAATTTTAATCTTTTAAGACATTTTTTGATTTTAATCTAATATAAATAAATATTTACTTATCTAGGCATTCTACATTAGTTTCTCTGTCTGCCTTATTCTTTGTTGGCTTCTCTGGATTGTGTTTATCCATGCGTTCTCCCTTCGTTTGAAGGTAATGCTGCGGGTAATGGCTTACGGCCAATGACATGCCCATATTAAAATACTGCCTTCTTGAAGCGAAAGGGTAAGCGATTCCCATCGCCTAGCTCGTTTCCACTTTCGTTTCTGTGGTAATCGTGTTTTTTGCTGGGTACTGGCAGCCAGAATTGAAATTTTATATTTTTATGAACTAAGTGCACTTTGTAGGCAAGCTCTAATCTCTCGAAAACTAAATTAGTCCTATATACCAGAATGAAGTTTTATCTTTATCGTAAGCTTAATGCTCTGTACGTGATATGAAGCTGAAAGGACGATCGGTGCTATCTACTTGTACAAGAATTCTAAATAAAGCTGGGGATTACATCCTAGCCTGTTGTCATTGAATATACATTAGGCTGCCTCACCAAAAAAATATTGCTCAATTCTGGACAGAATTACATTCTTACATATATAAAACACTTTGCACGTTTTTAATTTATACGTAAAAATTTTAAAATAATTTTGATTGGCACGATAACTCTAACTAATTATTTGCAGATATATGTTTTTTTTTCAAAACAAATTGCTAAATTAACTTAAGCTTATATTTCTGCAAGTCTTTCATGCTTTCCGCTTTGTAAATATTTTTAACTTTAGAACTTAACTTCCATTTAGGCCGTTTGAAACTTCTGTAGACTTTTCTTTTAAGTTCTTGTGCTTCTTTATTTGTATGTAAATATATGTATTCGGTTTTTGATAATCCTTGTTATTGCTGTTGTTGTACGTCACGCTCCCTCTGTGATAAATATATACACACACCAAATCTCTTCGTTGTATACTCGTATGTATGTATAAATGAATATAATAGCACATAAGCGCACGGGTGGATTTAAAAATGTTAACACCGATACGTCCCCATCAGGCGGCCAAGGCGGCTATTCGACCAATTTCAGTGGTGGTCTTAGTGGTGGACCCGAATCACAGGTGATTGCTGCCGTTTTCAAGCCGTTGGTAACGCGTTTTGTAGAAGCAACCAAAGATTTGAAATCACCCGAGAATGCCACATTGTACAGCGATATACGACAGCTGATAACCTATGTGAAGGGAGCACATGGTGGACCATTTCGACTGGTGGCACTTAGTGGCATATTGGCCGTGACGCCGCGACCACATAAAAAGGGACCGACTGCGCAAACTACTCGTGTTATAAGGTACATACGTATCTTTTGAGAGCTCAATTTTTTTTTAACTCGCTATGTTTTTTCACAGACACATACCGCAGGCGGAGGTGGCGCAAAGTATTCCCAACGATGATAATCGCTCGCAGCGTCGGTTTCTATTGAAAAAACGTAGCACTTCATCCGCCTGTGCTGTGGTAAGCGCCTACTCTTTCTAAGCAAATTTTTCAATAATTTCCCCCCAACAGAGTCTATTGGAGACTGAACCGTGTGAGGAGCATTACAAAAGTAGCCAATCGCCATTGAGCAACTTCCGTCGACGTACCACCGGCGTGCGACCAACGCTAACGCCACGTCACAGCGAACGTGCATTGCTCTCCGATTCCACATCAAGTTCGGAACGCAATTCACTTGGTCGCTTGAGCGGTTTGGTGCGCTGGTTTCGCAGCACGCCAAAAGAGGCGTCTTCCATTGACTTGGAAATTGGATCACTTAATCCGGAGATTACATCAACATTCATACGTCATGCATCGTTGAAGATACAACGCGGTCGCACAAGCGATGGAATTGGACGCTCGATACAACGCGCAAAGCGCCGTGTTGAGCGCCGTCTTAATCGTTTTGGTATTGTCAAGGGTAAGAAGAAGGCTGGCGGAATTGAAGAAACCGCAGACTATAGTCGACGCAGCTCTTCGGACATGTGCGACGGACCGCGCGAGTCCGAAGTAGTAGTATTGAAGGAGAGGAAACTGATACCAATGGAACCAGTGCGACTGGGAATGCTGCGTTTGTCGTTCTTACTCGAAACCTGCGCGCCAGGCTCATTTCCCGATCCGCAGCTGATTGCAGCCGTATTGGACTTGGTGAGTTTTAACGTTGTTCTATGAATATGGACATCTTTTGTTATGGTTAACTTATCTACACTTAGCCTCAAGCACCACTTGTGGCACGCGCCACCTTCCTACTGGAATGCGCGCACTTTGTGCATCTCTGCAACAAAGGTCAATGGCCACCGTGGATGAAGCATAATCTACCCGGCTATCGGCCATCTGGCGCCAACATCAACCTGAATCAGACCAAACATCATACAACTGCGACAAGTACGCGACGCACACATATACTACAGCGCGCCGCAGGCAAAATGTTTCATCAGGTAACCAAAGCTAAATAGAAAGTAATACCTTGGAAAATAAACCATTGTTGAATTTCTCAAAGTGGGCCGAAATGCTGGGCGCTCGACTCGAGGAGCTCATATTTACCGAACGTTTACAATTCGAGTCGGTCAATGCCACTTTTGCCGATCCGGATCGCCAACGCGAGCTGCTGCAACAAGATGAAGAAGAGGACTTTCTTGACGAGGCTTCCGTGAATCCGCATGGTAATGATTGCCCGCATGCGTTGAAATTAATTGCATGTGTGCTGCTCTACGAAATCACTGCTTTTCTGCGAGATACGTATGTCTTACTGCCCAAAGCATCGAAGCTGCTACATCGCGAGAAACACGCACCTTGGGAGAAGGTATATCGTGAGGCAAATCGTCGTTGGTCCATGGCATTGAGCTCGATGGGTCATTCGCAGACATCGGCGCAAAGTTTACAGTCCATTGCTGCCGGTAATGACACCACGGGTAGGCATTACATCGAATTTGCTGTTTGGTAAACTAATTTGTAAAATGTATATGTCCTACAACTTCTTGTAGGCGGTCAAACTGAGCGAAAGATATCGTTTGTGCTGCACGAACCCGACAATGAGTCGGAAAATAGTAGCAACACTACGCTAACGAAAGAAGGTGAAGAAGGTAGTGGTATATGTATGTTGTAGTGAAATTCATGCTCGGAACATTTTTGTCACTCTATTTCCATTCGCTCTTTAAGCTCGTCGTCCAGCCGCTTCAGCCGTGCGACCATTCCTTTTGCGCCGTGGTACAGCCACTACCACGGGTGGTTCCTTCAAGCGCCGCTCATTGAAGCTGCGACGTAACACTAAGGATGGCAAAGATCTAGAAACCGACTGTGAGTTAATTTTTTTCTGTTTTTTATTTACGGACTAAAAAGTTTTATATAAATGACTACACGCATTAGACCGCCGAGCTGATCACGCGAGTTCTTAAAAAAAAATAAAATTTCCTAAAAATGGATGAAATTTTATTCCAACTTACAAAAAAAAAAGTGGGCTTAAACACCTTAATAACCATTGTGACCAGATAATCAAAAAAAATAAGCTAAATTGACTTTAAAAATAAGGTTAGAAAAATACAGAGGCAGTGGAAAAATTAGCTCCTAGATATTTTATTGAGGGTGCTCATTAAACTAACTTCAATTTTTTTTTTGCTCAAAACTTCCAAGTAGGTCTTAAGCGGCCTTTTTTCTGTACTCGTACAGCGAAAGAAGGCGAGCTTTTTCACGAAATATTAGACAACGCGACAAGCTTGCTCAAATTCTTTGTTTATCTTCTAATAAAGCTTCCAAAAGTAAGGTCGTAAAAACCCCTGCCTAAAAGATTTTTTTGAGAAGAGCTCCTCATTTTGCTGATTGTAAGAATTTACCATTGCATTTCATTTAGTATTTTATCTTGGCTTCTCGAAATTTCAAAAATTTATCTCATTTTAAAATTTCTGTGTACGAAACCGGGTTTTTTTCTCTGAGCACGTACTTAAAAAATGGAAACTTCTCATAAAAAGGAAACGTACTTAAAAATGGAAACTTCTCATAAAAAGGAAACATTTAAAAAAAAATAGAATAAACCCACGAAGCAAGACCTAAAATCCTGAAACTAGAACAAAAATATAAGGTGCTAAATTTAACCTCAAAAAGGACTAACCTGGTCACACTACTGACAACATTCCCAGGTAGTTCTCGAGCTTAGTATGATCTCATGGAAAAAGCAGACACCATATTCAAAATTAATTACAAACAAATAAATGAAGGTGAACTATTTAGACAGAGTTCTGTAGAAGATAGCCTTGGTAATTAAGCTTCCTAATCATCTGCGCGCACCCCGCTAAGTATTACCAAAAACGCCTATCAGAAAACCTACAGACGAATGTGTCACACTTCAGCCAGAAGTCTCCATTCTGGTATATTTGAGTGAGGGTTCTTGTAGAAAACTTATCAACATATCAAAGCAGGCATGCATGAGTTTTGCTTAGGATTATTTCAGCTAGACTGAAAATTGTCGCAAAAATGACCGAGAAAACTTCAGGGGCTTCGCTGGGTGTGGAGAGAAAGACATTCGTGGTAACAACACTTTCCATTTTCCTGTTTGACGTGTTTCTGCGCAGCGTCCATCGTCCCTCCATTTGTGTAACAACATCACCGAATGTGTCAACTGTACGTTCACCTTGACCTACTAACCTAACTAACCTTACGTCGAAGAACGAGGTGTTATCAAGGCAAAATTTTCTATTCATAATCATTAGCCGTTACTTTCCTTCATTTTCTCTTTTCCTAGAATTTCAAAGACAATTTCTTCTATTTTCCAGTCAAACGCGTCGACTCCATACAGTCGCGTCGCAAAGTTTCATCGCTCTCCGATCGCAGCGATACTTCGGAACAAGGAATGGTCAGTGGTGAAGAATCGCCAGGAATACTAAGCGACGATCAACAACCAGAATCCCCCACAGACTCCAATGAAACAGATGACACGGCCAAAAATATGCCTTGGCTTAAAGCAGTTATCGATCTTATTACTAGCTACAACTACTATTGTTCACACAAGGGCTATTGTCATCCGTACTGCTACAAGAGACATATGCGCGCCTGTACGCGTTTGATAAAGGCCACCCGAAAGGTAAAAAAAAAAACACACATTAAATAAAACATAATAAATAAAGGAAGTCTACCCATTTATGTATGCAGATCTACGGCGAAGAATTCGGTTTTACTTTCGATATCGAACATCCGACAGTAGAGCCAACAGTACCCGTAAGCGCGACATCCAAATCGAATCAAACCCGCCCGCGTTCAACGCGTAAGGTATCCGAACAGAGTTCTACGCACACCTCACCGTCCAAGCGCAAGGATAGTATCTCGCGACGTGATCGGTAATTTGAAAAAAAAAATTATTCGCTGAATTAAATTCTTACTATAGTTGAGATCTACTTGTATTTAGTATAAGCGATGATCCCGATATAGAAATCGCTGAGAAGCTGGCAGACGCCTTTCATCAGGCAAAGGAGAAAAAGGAGCAGGACGAACCAGCTATACTGAAGTATCAACGCTTCTATATACGAACGCTCTTTCACTATCCCTTCGCCACGATGCTTAAGGGCGCCGTCATACTGACCGAGGAAATGGTTATCGAAGCAATGCCCGCAGCTTGGGAACTGCTGCTCGATACGAATCAAGACACTGCTTCAGCGAGTTCTGCCGTCTTTCTAATGGGTTCGGTGAAGGCACAGAATTTCGCTTTTGACATAATGCAGCGCGCTTTGAAAAGTAAAGATCCTGATGTACGCATTGGTGCAGTGCAAAGGTGCGCACTATACATATGTATACTCAACTCTAAATACTAACTAACCTTATCACCTTAACGTTTAATTTGTAGATATCTTGTACTCTGGAAGAGCCGCTTTCATGTGTGGCCGCGCATGGAGGAAAACGCACATGATCTGACCTTCAAAGTGCCACCTGGTGGCATAGAATTTACGCTGCCTTCTCCCAAAATAGGCATAGAAAGCTTACCGGTCGTCGATCCGCCTTGGATGCCTGTGCAACAGACTAAGGATATGGATGTGACGCTCAATCAGGACAGACACGTAAGTTGAGATATTTCCATGGGCTTATGACTAAAAAATTAAGTGCTCTTTTCCAGCGCTCCCTCGTAACGGCCACAAAGAGTCGCAAAATGCAGCAAACAGAGGCAATACGCAATGCTTTGCGCCAACAACGCGACAAACAACGCGCCGAGCGGCATAGTTTCCTCATCACCACCATACCGATCAGCCAGCAAGCATCGCACGAACCCGGCATGGAACATGAAGATCATGAGGGTGAAGAGGATTTGGATGGCACACGCATACATTTGCATCATGCGCATTCACTATTCCCCTCGGTGCTTTGTTCGTCGGTGATGCAGATTGTTGGTTGCTTAGATGATGCGGCCATTGGCACTGATGGAAATGCTGTCTATGAAATTGCCTATCAGGTAGCCTCAGTGCGTATGCGCTAATAAATTCGAAATTCATCAAAATTCTAATGCTTCCTAGGCTATCTGGGTGTGTCTCGTCGAGGAGTCTGCACTCTTCTTACGCTACGTATTTGAACGGTTAACACGCGATCGTCAAGATCAAATGTTTAAATTGCTCCGGCATTTAATTAGATTCGTGCCGCGTTTGCCTCAACAGGCTGCCTTTGCGCTATACAACTCCATCATTGGTTACATTATGTTCTATGTGCGCTCATCAAATGAGCACAAACAAGAGGTATGTTGCGCATCTACTTCAGCCTCATTTACATGCTACTAATACATCTTACGCTTACATACGCTTCCTAGCTTGTCGGTTCAGCTCTTTCGGTGCTCTGGATGGTGGTCCACAGCGTGCATGGCATTATGTTTAAGGATCTGAAGCAAATTCTACGCAAAGAACAATGCGACGCTTCTATTTTACTTACAGCAAATGTACCAGCGGCCAAGAAAATTGTCGTACATGGGCCAACCGATGACGATTGTAATATACCATCGCAATTTCCGGTGCAAGAGGACACACTGTTCTGTCAGTTGTTGAAAGAAGCTTTGGACTATTACCCGGTGGATGAAAAGAATTTAAATCATTACTGTTTAGTGGATTACAAAAGTAGTAAGTAGCTGAACATTTGGGCGTAATCAGGGTAGCATTTACCACGGAGGAAAAAGTAGTCTAGGAATGGTCTTAGGGTTTTCCACTTATTCAAAATACCTCGCGGTATTTCTTGATAAGACATTCACCTGCAATACACAACTGGAAGTTGGTGTCAACAAACTAGTGAGAAATTTCTTTATTTTCAATCAATTTTTTAGTAAAACATGGACCCTACCTCCCAAAATGACCTATCGACAGTTCAATCGTTCATCGGTTTAGGCTGAGATCAAAAAAACTTGGCTAGTTGCCCAACTTCTTTGCGCAATTACTCCAAGTCTTTATACACATAATCTTTTGATTTGAGTTCATGGGCGCCCTTGCTTTAGCTGACCACCCACAGAGAATAGTCAAAAGTTATTTTTAAAGAAGCGTCGTCGTCCAGCTCGTAGTTCGTTATTCGATCTTCTTAGGTGCTCGTCGCCCAAGCGAATAGGGTCCGTAGATCTAGCATAAAATAGTTCTCTTGCAATCCCTTAAGCCTTCTTATCTTTGCTCGACATCGTCCACGTTTCTGAAAGATTAGAAAGTAGAGGGTAGAGATTTGTAAAGCGTGGTTTTTGTTCGTCGAGGGAGCCAAAAAAGAATTTGTAGGCGAAAATTATTTTTCTTCTGATATCCATGATATGACTTCAATGCTGAAACTTAGCTATACAAGGTCCCTCCACTCACTCACTCTTTTTGTCTTGTCGTAAAGTTTTTATTGTGGTCCTCGTTCATCGCTAAACCCATCTAATTCGCCAGCTTCCCTGAGCTGTTCCGTCGTCTGGAATAACTTTCGATGAAAACTTGCTTGTTTTAAAAGGTCTGAGAGTTGTACACGAAATTTCTGAGCTGTCCCTAGTGACTGCAGTTTACCGAAGTTATACTTTTGTCGGTGACGCCAGACGTCAGCTCGTCTACATCGCAAGAAGCGAATCCTCTTAATATCACAACGTGTTCAATTTGGTTTTCGGTTCTTTGATCAAGGGACTCCAAGGATGTTTCGATACTGCTGTCTGGTACTACTAACTAACTACCATGCTTCATACCGCGGCGGAGTCGATAAGCCTCCTTCCGTTGCGAGAGGTATTGCATTAGAGGCTAAATTTCCCGACTTAGGCTTTTTCCAGGCGCTCGTAGAACTGCTTTGGCTTCTTAGTTCTTCTCCGCTGCGTGTCCAAAAATTGCGCTGACCACAAAACCTACACAGAAACTTTATTACCGTATAATATCTGTTGTTCTAAATGGCACATGCTGCGTAATTCATGCAGCCATGTCCCGTCTGATTCGCCTTTTTCGTACTTCGGAGGTGAGCCTTTTTTTCCCAAGGACGTCCTGCAGTCGGACAGAAGCAGCATCGCTATAGAGGTACGGATACCTAGGTGTACATGTATCCACAAATCGTATTCCTTGTTTTATTTGTGTTCCCCGTAACGTGTAGGCAAACCACTATCCGAGGCTTATCTCCCCTTTTCATTGGATTGGTCGATCAATAAAGAGTCGTGGGTGTCTGCAACCAGCATCAGTTATGCAGACCCCTCAAAAATTAATGAAAGTATAGAGTAGAAAAAGTACCGTTCTTATTAGCGCAGCTGGGAGTATTGCTTGATATTCCTACCATTCCGTCTTGCCTTATTCTCTAGTTTTACTTTGAAGCTTAGTAGTTGAGCCCTGAGAGCTTTCTAAAACCTTCGCTGGTGAAGTTCATTAGGGATCGTTTGGCTGCCTGTTCTATGCTAACTTGCAGTGGCGTGAGCTCTGAAATAACTTGCAATGCTGGTGTGGAGCAGGAGCGCATTGCGCGGTTGTTGCTTGATTAGTGATCTTTATCCACCCAACATTTCTTCCTAATTTTGAGTGTCCTCTGGATTATCATGCTAATATAACTACGTCGTCCGCGTAGCCTTGGCTTCGGATTCCATTGTCTGTGCAGGAATTCATCTACCACCAGGCTTCAAAGGAGGTGTGATAGTACTCCTCCCGTGGATTTTAACTCTTAAGAATTCTTCTGTATCGGTTATTCTTGTTCGTAACAGCTCTTCTATCCACCTACGGATACGCCTATTTTATCTTGTGTGTGACATACCACCTCAAGTGAGGTGTTGTCGAAAGCTCCTTGTACACAGATAAAAGCGCAGAGACCGATATCTATAGCGAATATAACCGAAAATGACATCTACGACAAACATTTTCTCACAACTACGTTTACTTGAAGACTCTACTCGTCGCGGCACACAGAGAAATTGGGTTTACGTTCACATATCTATGGATGTCCAGTGTCTATAGTAAGCTGTGATTCGCTGAAAATCTCTGTTTCAAAAAAATAGCTAGTTTACCTAAAACCAACAATCATTAGATCTCAGTTTGGGAATAAATTAGATTTGGTTTGTGTCTGGAAATTATTCAATATTTTGGAAATCCAAATACTGAATAAGGTGAAAGTGATTGTCAAGGGATTCGAAAATTGGTTTAATGTACCTGTTTGAATGTGTATGTACGTCGCAATAATTTGTAGTTTTTCAGCGCTCATTTTACATTGTACTCATTTTAAAAACCCCAACTTTCCCTCCATGCAGACAAAATCCTCAATCCCAATTGGTACATACGTGACTTGTACTTCTTTAAACGCTCTCAATATCCAGAAGTTCGTTTGATACTGATGAAACCCGAGGTCTCTTTCTTGGCCTTACAAAAGCAAGAACTAACAAAAAAGTTCGTTGAAATCGGCAAAGTACATCTGACATGGGCAATTTTGAAGAATGTAGATATGGTGGTGCAGCGCGTTGTATTCTTGCATGAGGAACTCATGAAACTACCCTCCTTCCCACGCAAGGCACTCGAAGTGGATTTGGATTTACATCAAAGTGGCGAGTATGGCAAGGTATGGAAAATATTTATATATTTTTTTTTTTTATAGTTCAAGCACCGATCTATGACAGTACATATGTAAATCTATGAATTTCATGCTACGCTTTTAGGTGCTACTTGGACTCGATGTGCTGCATAAATTCATGTGGGTGCGTCTAATTGCGCGCATGTTTGAAGCGATGGCCGGCAATTTCGCCTACTCCGCTGACATACAACTCTTTCTGAATGTGCTATCCGGTGCGGCGATTTTACATGCTGAAGATTCTTGCATTATGCGTTATGTCATGGCCACCTATATAAATGCTGCCTTCAATTTTAAGAATATATTTTCAACGAATGGTTACTTCATGATTATGCCAACACTATTGCAAGTCTATTCGCTGCATCAAACTAATAAATTGATAACCACCACAATTGAGTACGCAGTCAAACAATTCTATTTGCTGAATCGTAAGCCGTTCATATTGCAAATGTTCGGTTCGGTTTCGGCGATACTCGATACGGACGAGGATGGCACGTACGGGGAGGCACATAAGGTAAGATGGGATTTTGTTTATTGAACAAATAGGAGTAGATATGACGTGCGCTAATGGAAGATGAGCATTAGGTAGGAAGTTTAAAACGAGCCTGTGGAGGAGACCTTTTATAGCGAATACTTAGTTAGTCCAAGAAACATGCGTTTTGACATGTTATCTACTGTGGTCTACTGTGCCTCTCAGCCTCATCTCTTCACAAAACTTCTTTTAAACCTAGATCCCTCACGAGGTTCAACAGCTTTCGGGGGAAAGGGAGTAAATATACTTAAGCTGTGGCCACATTGAGCCTAGACTTATCTCACGTCTTCTACAGACTGCATCACATTCGATGCGGGCGTGTGGTGGTGACTCGCGGGTAGAGTCTCAGAACCGGCGAAAACCAGCTAACATAGATGTCCTCTTAGTCTGCAATGTACTGTTAGGGTACCTGTTAGTTTTCTAAGTTTGTCTTTTGTGCGGTTTATTAAGCTTTGGAATGCTCTTGTTATACTCCTCCAATAAGCTCTTTGCTTTATGTATTCCTACCAAACTATGGCTCAGGGCCAACTGGAGTGATAGCTGCCTCCTCTCATGCGAGACAGTCCATCACCTCGTTGCCACTATGGCCAGGTACCAGGGTAGCCAACTCCTTTTTGAGAATTAGCAGATTTCGACAATGAAATTCCCCCGATTTCGCCGGAAACTTCGTAAAACTCCCTACCCATGGACATCTTTTTATTTACGAAAAAAATAAACAGGAACAGGAATTAGCAAACATTTGCAAGCTTCACTGCCAGCTGGCGTCCATGGTTGCATTTCGAACATAATAAATTTTTTAAATTCTTTCAGATGGAAAACAAAACAGCACCTATACGTATATTTCTCCATACTCTGACTTTCTTCAAAATACGCTTCAATTTCTTTGTGGAAGTCACTGTCGGATTTCCTATATCGACAGTGGTGTCGACTGCGTTCCGATTACGAATACAGCTTTTTCAGCCGAGTACCTAGCAAATGTTTGGAATTAATTAAATTAAGTGAATAAATAAATATTTACATACTTCTTTCATTAGTAAATCACAACAAGTTTGTTGATTTTTAAATTTAACAAACTTGTTGATTGAAATTAGTGTTGACAAAAATGCAACCGTGTGCCACAATCCTGTGTATAAATCCAAGTTTCAAACTTTGTGTAATATTAAAAAAAAAAATCTATAAACTTTCGTAAAAATTTCGAGCGATTTTCGAATCGTAACTGTCGTGGATGAGCAACTCGTCATGTAAAAATGCATATTTCGGATTATAACAGTCGTGAACGTACTGATTGTCTCGTAATTCGGTATACGAGACAATCAATGCGTTCACGACTGTTATAATCCGAAACATGCATTTTTACTACCTTTACGATTCGAACCCAGTAGTTTTAGTTGCAGCTGCATTTCTTATGCGCCTTTTTTAACTCATTATGAAATTAGTGAAGCAAAAAAGAATAAATTATTTAACACTTATTCCTCACAAAACGCAGTTCATCTCCCAATTCTGCACGTAAACTGAAATTCCCCACAAAAAACGGCCCATTCTCCGATTCCCCACGCATACTCAAATTCCCCGCAAATCGGGGAATTCCCGAGTTGGCTTCGCTGCCGGGTACTCACGCTAGTTGAATGCTATTGTGTCTGCGGTGGAAGTTGAGCTTCTCAATGCACTCAAGTAGCAAAGATGATTTGATTTCATAAGCTAAGAGACCCTGGAGTACCGCCTGGCTGTCAGAATCATAATACTTTCCTTGCGGGACCCTCTATTTATTATTGTCTCCGCACAAAGACAGATGACGGAAACGGCTCCTTAGAAGACGCTCGGATCATTCCCCATTGGGACAGAGTCCAGAGTCCAAAGATTCCACCGAATGTACCAGTACATGATGCCACAGGAGTCCCTCGAAGACGGAGACGCTCCGGGTTGCTTTGCTGCATAGCTCTATTTTAGACCTCTTCCCAAAAACTATGGCTTTACCTATGTCATCTCTAGGGAAAAGAGCTATCGGAAGCGGGGGCGCTAGCTGCTTCAAAATACAAGACCCCTCTGTAGCAAAGCCAAGCAGAGTTATTTTGGGAAGCTGCTCTATGGTTATATAGAACAGATTGAAGTCTATACGAACTGACGAAATAAGTCCAAAGCTTCATTAAGCATTCACAGGGACTCAGTCTCGAGTTATGGAGACTCTAGACCTGTGAGTGCCGTTCTAGGCACACAACCACCGGACATTGACGTGACGGAGCTTCATCTGCCTCGGGAGACAAGAACCACAATAGCCCAACTTCGCTCTGGCTACTGCAGCAGGTTAAACTCATACCTGAGTAGACTAAATGCGGATGTGCCAAATGAGTGTCCGGCATGCGGAAAGACGCCTCACGACTCGAAACATCCCTTCACATGCCCGGAAAACGCGACAACCCTAACGGCTTTGTCTCTGTTGACCGGCCCTGTAGAGGCTGCACGCTTCTTAGGGCTGCCGTTAGTGGAAGTCGACGACAACGACTGAGATATCAACCGATCTGGGCGGGGTTGTTGTAGCCGCTTGCTGTAAAGAAGCTAGGAAGATTGGAGAAATAGCCGCTTACTTTCGAGCACAGGTCATCAATAACATTTCTAGATGCCAACAGCAGCGTCAAAGATCAAATAAACTCTCTCAAGTGGCTTTCGGATCTTCGATAAGTAAAATTAACATACACTGCAGGGGACAGGAGAGACATGGGGCGATAGGACTGTACTTTGTTAGCAAGTTTCCTCAGCTTGTGTAGTGGAAACTCTCTCCTTTATTTCCACAAATCAGTAAAGTTTCTCCAAGAATGAACAACGATTTCAAGAGCTCGCTGAACTAGGCAAGTTTGGTAGGTATCCAACAGGTGGAAAAACGAGGGATTGAGGGGGCCCTGTTTCATGTGGACATTGTTATGAACTGTTAGACAGGTAGACAATTTTATACGAATTCTTAAATTTAACTGACATGCCCGCTTACATACTTGCATAGATATGTATGTATATGTAAATATATCTACATTTATATTCTCTACAAATATTTCAGGTGCAATCGAGTTGCTTATTCAACTTACTACTGAGTTTGGAGGACCCCTCGCCCGATCCATTAAATATCGCCGAACTGGTAAAGGAGCCCAAGCCGCTAAAAGCTATAGATTTTTGCTATCACGACGAAGATGGTGACGTCACTGTGTTGGATTGCATCACCTTATGCGTTATGGTGGTTTCTTACTCTGCCGAGAGCACACGCGGCTATCAAATGCTGGTTGGCAGCTGATATTATCGACTGTCTTTCGGAAACATTATTAATAACCATCCTTTCTAGATCATTCTTGAGGCTATACTACCATGCTATTTACAACAAATCCAATCGCCCAGCTATATTCCGTTACAAGGCAAATCGGAGCGTGACATCATTTTACAGTTGGCTGTCGCCATACGAACTATGGTCCACAATTGTGAGGGTCTGGCGAAGAGTTACAATGGTCCATATCGTAATAGCCCAGAACACAAGGGTTCATCGCAGCGCAATTGTAGTCGCGGCCCACCTTGTTCGCCCGGTCTTGACTTCGAGGAGGAATCGCACTCGAAATATGTTAACGATCCACGCACAAAGAACATAATGGATTCTGGCGAAGATTCCGAAATGATACGCACAGAGTATCGACGTCCTCGCGACGTGCTGCTTTCAGTAGTCAGCGATTTCCTCAGCAAATCAAGCACGCGTTTGTCGGAATTGTCAAAGAAGCTGCCGAACGATAACAAAACCACAGAGGTGTTAGATGCCAAATGCCATATGCGTTTAGCAGAAATCGCGCATTCGCTGCTCAAAGTCTCACCCTACGATCCCGAGTCTATGGCATGCCGTGGATTACAGCGCTATATGCAGGCCATTTTGCCACGTGCTGAATGGTCGAATGATGCGCTACGCAACTCACTAATCACCATACTGCGACGTGTGGACAAAGTATTTTTGAAAATATCCAAGAAACCTTCGATACGACGCAACACCGACTGGGAGGCAGCTGCCGGTTTGCTTAAGGGTATACATGAAACGATCGTGCGACATCCGTATGTACTGCACTGGCAACAGATGAAAACGCTCGTCAGCACAGTGCAAAATCTAATTGTGAATGAAGGAACTAGCGCCGGTGAGGGTGTGTCAAGCGCAGGTGCTGCTCTCATGTCTCAGAATCCTCCGGCCTTCTTTTGTTCGACGGTGGTGCGACTGGTAGCACTGCAAGTGGTCAGCCCGGTGGATTGTTTCTCGTTGGTGCAGATTTGTGGTGGCAGTGAATTCGCTACGCAGGAGAAGGCCGAAGGTTTTCTAATGCATTTGATTATGCCACTGTGCTTGAAGGTATGCTCGGGGCGTGGTGTCTCCGATATTGGTGAGCTCAAGATGACCGATGTCACGTTTCTGTTGACGGTGGTGCTGAATGCCATGAGCCCACCGGCGGGTCGCACCGGACAAGCAGTGATACAGACTAATCGGGTAGGTGGTGATTTACGCGCTGGCTCGCTAACTTTTACTGGCAGTCGTGATGCTAAACGGCCCGCACGCATTTCGGGATCGCTTTATCAGGCCGCCTTTCTGGCGTTGCGCATTGTGTGTATTTGCTTCGAGAATCGCTTGTCTAATGAATGGCCGCGAATAGTGCGCGTAATGCGGGATTTGGGTAGACGAAATGAGGCAGCGCCGGATTTGTGGAGCTTCCTTGAATTTGTGGTGACACATAGAACACCACTGTACATTGCGTTGATGTCGTTCATTTTGCATAAAGTATGTAACAGTGTGTTTTGAATACAGATTTGTTAATACTTAAGTATCATTAATGATGTCGTTTAAATCTCATCATTCACAGATTTCTCAACCACCGATTGGCGATCATGAACGGCATATGCAATTTATAATTCGAGAGCGACTGCGCGGCACCCCACCACAGGGCGGTATAAAATCGAAAGGCGCACTTCTGCTGGAATTGGCCAGAGAACTGAAAGATTTGAGAGATGAACTTGAAGAGAAGCGTTACGGTATGTAGGTATAGTATTCTCCTTTGCTTAAATCGATTATCCTTTTATTTCATTAGATCGTGAGTGCTCCGATCAGAAGAAAACTGATACGCCCGCCGCAACGAGCGCAGCCGAAACACATAAATCTCAGCAGCGCCCATCACTCATATCAATATTTACCGGCACTACCACCGGTCAAGCGACGCACTCTCACGTGTCAGCTGTTCCTATAGATTCACGAAGCGGTTCAGGTGGCATTTGTACTCCCAGCGACACGCTCTCTCAACAAACACTGCACCCTCCCAGAGAGTCGCTATCGAGCAGCTCTACGGGCCGTGATCACCATACAAGTGAAAGCCAGAGCGGCGAAAACGCTGCTGGTTCTGCGCCCACACTAGCTGGCGCTGCGGGTACCACAACTACTGGATCTAACCATGGCACCATCGCTTCTGCGCTTCCTCCGGGAGTGATGTCACAACTCTCGCACTCCCAATCATTGCAACAAGCGCCATTCAAGGCACAGCCACCTAAGCTACGTTTCGTATCTTCGGTGGAGTTCAGACACTCGTCTGGGGAGACATCCACAACACCACTTTCTCCAGAAAGCCCTGCAGAAGATAGTTCCGGTGATCATACGCGCTCACGCTTGCAACGCTCAAAAGCATCAAGCCGCAAAACATTCCGTTTGAGGCGTAGCCGCCTCACGTCCATGGAGCCACCTAGCATTGTGAGTATTGGTATTTTTCGTCATGGTTTTTCTAAATTTGTCGTTCTTACTTGTTAGGTTACGCAAATTTCACAGGAGGAGCATCCAAAGACTATAGGCGAGATATCATGGGATTCGGTGTCACAAACTTCCTCCACATCTGGTTATCGTGACAACAACAGCTTGCAAACCGGTTTGCTTTCGCCGGATGGCTCCTTGGGTGGCATGACACTAGGACGGTCGCCATCTCAGCACTCGTTGCTAATGGTATTCGAGGGTCATGATGAGGACACGCTTATTTAACAATCACAGTCTAGCCCGACGCAGACTGAGGAATGATGTGATAGCCCAAAAGATTACAATAGGAGGAGGTCAAGATGGTAGCAATAATAAAATCGAAACTGTTCTTCGTCGGCTGCGTTTATGTAATTTCCATTACAAAATATTTGTAATTTGTTAACAGTACTCTTAAGTACAATCTTACGATATTTATATAGAATCGATGTTTTAAAAAAATAGTGTAGCTAATAGGTAAGATTCTCGTTGCGTAATGTAACGATTATAAAACTATTGCGATTAAAATGTGCCAATAAGACAAGACTAAAAACAGATTTTTCTTACTAAATGAGGAGCATTATGAGCTTGAGCTTGCTTTGGTCGCAGACGCTTTCGCGCGATTTTCTTTGACAATTTTGCGCCATTCTAACCATTTAGCCACATCTGGATTTTCGGTATTACCGCGTTCCTCCAGCTGTAGATAATAAGCTTCGCGTAATATTTTAAACACTTGCATGCTGTAATATGGCTGCTTAGTAACAGGATCAAAGTAGCGCGCAGGTAATCTAAATGCAAAACATATTTGATTGATAATAAAAACCAAATTCCCCACTTTACGCACCTGGTTATCGGACACAAGTAGCCAGAATTACTGTTCAACGGTTTTGGTTTAAAAACAGACTGAAATACTTTATCATTGAGATCATTTTCGAATGTTATGAACGTGCGTTCACATTTTGCTGACGAATCGGTGGCATCAGCATTCGTATTTGATCCTCTAGTTTGCTTACGTGCTACTGGCATTGTCATTGAATGGTAACGTATCATTGGACCTGTGTATATGCGCTTTGTGGGGCGCGTTTTCTTCTTTTCCAATTCCATCTTTTGGAACTTCTCTATAAAAATAAAATCGCGCAACATTAGCAATATTCTTAATATATTTACTTAGTTTCATGTTGTTCGCTCGCACCCAGAGATTTTATATTTTCCTCTTCAGTTATTTTTGCTTCCTCAAGCAATTCTTCCTGAGTTGGCATATATTCCTCTACCCTTTTGACGCGCCTCTTTTTCTTACGTGCGTCGTCCATTTCCTTCAAGCGTATCTTAGTAGCTTGTGTTTTTATTGCAGTTGAAGCCCTTATAGATTTTCGACCGGAATCAATTATAGTAAACTTGGGGCGAGGTCGTCTGACGATTTTTGAGGCCTTCCTTTTTGGTAATGTTGACACATCCTTCTTAACAGCAGGCTCCTGGTTATGAATTTAATAGAATATGATACATATAAAGCGGTGGGTACTTATGAATAACTTTAATATATATGAACAAATGCATATCAATATATTTACTTTGTAAGCTTTGGTATTAACACCTCCGCGCTTTCGCTTCTTTTCTGGTGCATCCTCAGTATCCGAAATTGGTTCATCATTTTCGTCAATACTAAAATCTGAATCCACTACATCTTCCTCTTCTTCTTTTTGGCTGAAATTTTTAACCGATTTTAAATATTAAACTATAAAAGACATTTTTCGATCATACACATATTCTTGATCCTCTTCTTCATCGTGGAAGCCACCGTAGGATGTCTTATAGAATTCATCTTCCTCCTCTTCATTTAGCAATTTTGCGATTTTAGTACCGGCATTTGTGCGGCGTGACCGTGCAGCAGCCATATTTATAAATCACCAAAAATAATGATTTGCTTCTAATTATCCGCAATAAAATCTCTACCAAAATATATCTATTTTGTAAAAATCGTACAATGCACTTTTTGTTTATGCACAGCTGATCTCATAAGGCGTTGCCACTAGTAGTGACAAACTATCGATGGCACAATCTATGGTAGCGATGGGACAGTTTTATAATCCTTTAAATTTTTGTATAATAAAACCGTGTCACCCATTTTATTCTATACAAAGAAGTTCGTTTTTATATGGAAGAAAATGCTTGACCATAATGCAGTAATACAAGGTGGTATCAGTTGTGATAGCTCGATTTGACACTGCCTTAGCCCAGTAGAATGAGAAGAAAAACGGAAAGAAATGAATCCCCATATGGGGGAAAAATATAAAATTTCACATTTTCTCCTAAATAAAATTTGGTTTTTTATAGTATATTCGATATGAAATGAAATAAAATACGATAAAATACCTCTTTAAGAAAATAAAGTGTGTATACTGATCAAAAATAAAAAAAAAAGTTCAACTATATTAATGGGCAAAGAATAGTAAAGAAGTAACACTGTTTCACGTAAGGCAGTCAATATGGCGGAATTAGAGCGAGTAGTTGCCAACTGATAACATCTTGTATTATTGCATCATGATGCGTGAACTGTTAGCAAAAAAATTTTCAAATTTCTACGAGATTCTTCAGCAACTTGAAACCTGCAATTTATTATATTATTTAATATTTAAATAAATCAATTCATATTACCTTCAAACGTATTTTTTTCATGCCCTTTTGCAGCATTCAAATTAAAAAAATGCATCCACATTATCGAGACTATCGGCGCACTATCGGAAAAAATGATAATCGGCGCAATCGATAGTGATGCAAAAAACTAACATCAACTATCGATGGCTTGCCACACTTGAAAAAAAGACGAATTTATACAAGGTGGTGTTCAAGGCGAATTAATATAAGGTGATAGCAGGAGTACAAAAACAAAAATTTACATGTATTTTGTTTTTGCTTTGGCGGCATAAACTGTCAAAATCTGTAAGAGTGTGTGTAGAAATTCAAACAAAATTTTTCAATTTGATATCAAAAGCCGTGCGGCGAAACACATACACAAAATCAGCTGAGCTAGTAACACCACCTTATATAAATTCGCCTTGGTGGTGTTCCTGGCTAATTTTGATTTTCGCCGCGGTACTTCTTAATGTCAAAATGATGTGTTTGTTGTAATATGAATTCGCCTTGTTTACAACAAACACATCATCAACAAATGCATACAAAAAAGTCGCCGTGTTTAAATGAAACGAGCAAAACCCAAAGGTAATAGGAAAAACGGCGTCGGAGAAAGTTTCCATATATAAACACAGACTTGGTAGCCTTGTCCATAAGTCTAGGATCGGACAGAGAAACTTTTGTCGCGGATATTCGTTACATGTGGAAGAGCGAGTGACGCGAAAGGAGGAAGTGCAACGAGTTGCTCGTGCTCGGGCAGCACCAAAAGAGAAATTGTCGATTATGACCAACATAAGTTTCTCTGTGTGAACCCAGTCTAACCGCTCGTGCTGGTGAATTTTTGGACCTAACCGTTTAGGATGGCGTGCGGGAAGAAATGTCAAAACTGGTCAAAATTTTAGTGTTGTTGTACTACCAGCAATTTGGCAAAACACATTTTGTATTGTTTTTAAATTTTTGGAGTATTTAACAATAGGAAAAAATAAACATTTATCAGTGATAGTAAAACAATAGGGGAGTTTTTGCTAGTCAATAGGATTGAAGATTGTATTGGAAAAGCTTGTAAAAAGAGTACCGAGGATCGATTCGTCACCTCCGATTAAAAATAGCAAATAGTTTCAGAAAATTCGATTCCCTTTACTCAAAATGGCAACAGGGACGTGCAAGGTTAGTATAAATATATGTGCATACGTTTGTGTGTCTAAAGTCCCACCCCAAACCATGATAATATAACCCATGCCCCAACCCTTCAAGCTCACGTCATCACAGCAAAAAACTATCATATTAAGAATAATTCATTTTTCCTCATAGGTCGCCAAACGACTGTTGACATGCTTTTGCGGCTGCTCGGAAATGTCTGAGGAGGAGGTGCGTCGTATTTATCGTCTGAATGCACAAGACACGCTAAATGACTCGCGAGCTGCACAGATCTTTCGACGCTTCTTAGAGCAAGAACGTTGTGGCGATAAAAGCGAAGTCGAAAATTTTTTGGATATTTATGAAATATGCGGAGAATTTTTAAGGGAGGATAGCTTAACATTTGAACAATTAAATACACTCATTGAAATGGAACTGAAATATTATCTTGAGAAAAAGCTAAATCTTTATATAATGATGATCGAAGAAAAACAAAGGCAAGATATTCATATACATGAAATAGAACGTGATTTGAAACGAATACAAGCCGATTACCGGAGCGAAATTGAAGCCAGCGAAGAGTACAGAAATTACAAGCATGCGATATTAAACAAACTGAAACAGGTACCCTGAGAGCCGGCACTAAGGCAGGGGAAGAAAAGACAACGAAAGTGATAGAAAACCAACTGCCGCCAACAGATGATTTCCTATAAAGATTCGAAAAAAAAACACAAATACATGCCTCGTGTTAATGTTCCAAAGATACATCACAAAGCTTGATTTCCTTATTCTTTTTACTATTTCCATCCAACACTACCTTTCAGTATGTAATCAGCTCATACATAGATGTATATGTATTAACATACAATGAAACTATAATCTTTCCCAGACTTTGCTTTCTAAAAGCTATCAGCATTATAGATTGTTTTTCCTACAATGTGCTTAAATCTACACCTAAGAGTTAGCAAATAAATATCAATTTTTTAGTACTTTACGTTATTTAAATTAATTTATTTCACTTTATAAATGTATGTGCATGCATTTGCGTTTATATATTTCCGATATAAAGCTTATGCTTTACAAAACATATTTATGGGCGCACTTATATAATTTTGTTATGATATATCCAGCGGACTGAAGGGCAATCAAACCCAGAGAAATGTGTGGATGTTTACTTTGCGATGCCCCTTGCAATATCTTTGATTAAAATAATCACCATTGCTTAGGACTTTTTCCACGAATAATACATCTCCATTGGTTTGTTTACCTAAAATGATATTACATTTAGTAGAAATATAATTTTGTTTAGTGTTTAAATTTAATAACTACTTTCGATACCTTCCAGAATTTGTCATTTACTTGGTGAAGCGTCTGATTACCATTCAATACGACCAACTGCTGAGGTTGTGGCGCAATGTATATGCAAAAATTTAGCATTCGATATGCTTCTGGAAGTTCTGATCCTAAATCCAATGTTAACCGCATAGCTAAGTATTTGCTCAAGTGGTCAACTGTAAATGAAATCACTAATTAAATATTTAATAATTTTAATATGCTCTGATATTGACCTGTGGCATTTGCAGTCGTCTTTATATAGCGAATGCAATTTTCTTTCAAAGCCTTCATCAATTGATTATCACCTGCCATTTCAGTTGGATGTGGTTTAAAAACCAACTCTATTTCATCATTTATCCCAAGTTCACCCGTACCTTCACCTTCGGTATCGATATTAGAATCGCCTTCGGTGCGACAATCCATCTGTGAGTCGGATTCCGACTCCTCAGAACGTTCCGATGTCAGCACCGACATAGCGCGCTTTGGTTTCGAGCTGCTCGAATTCGATGGTACTGGCGATGGAGTACTGCGCATGGATGGTGGATTTGAGGCGCCATCATCAGGTTGCATTCGGCTAGTGCTGGCAGTACTAACAGACGTCGATGCTGCCGCCGCCGAGGTGCTGGAATGTGTTGAAGGTGGTGCGGCTGCAGAAGGTTGAGGTGCATTTCCATTTGCACTTTCGCGATTATCGCTGTCATTGCCATTTGTGGCGCTCTCATTATTAGAGTTATTCGCATTAGCTGAATTATGGTTTCCATTATTGCCGCCATTGCGTCCACCACAACCTTTGGCACGGAAACGTTGCGGCCTATTTTGAGATTGTAATTTAATGCCCTCATTAATGGAGTTAACCAATGCTTGCTGCGATTGGGTTTGATTAAATTTGGCCATAACCTTTTCTTGTATAGCTTCGTATTCTTCACGACTGGGATATATTTTCGATATTAGGAGATCGAAATTGGGGTCAGGCCGAAGTGAGCGCTTTGAGACAAGCTTCTTTCGGCAAGTTGGGCATTCTTTATTTCCTGAACGTAAAGCTGTAATAATACAATCCGAACAAAAACGATGGAGACACTCCTTGGTTGTCATTGTCTTTTTAAGCATGTCCAAACAAATGGGACACATCAATTCGCTGTGCAGACTCCGCGGTGACACTGCGATCTCGGTATTGTCCGTGATGATTTCTTGCGGATTCCGCTGCAGCTCGTATAATGACAAATCCCATGTTTTATTTTGTGCAGGTTCCAACGAAGTCATGGCCCTGGATAAATAACCAAATCGATTAGCAATAATTTTAAATGAAAACACAAAAAATTGCTAATTTTGACACTTTTTCCAAGCACAACAAAGCAGAGATAAAAAAATAGAAATGGGATACTATCGATAGTTGAAAACCATGCCTCTATCGACAGTTTTTGGAAACTATCGATGTCGGTGTTTAGCAAAACTTCAATAGGGGTCTTCATCAAAAGTGATAAACTGGTAATAAACTTGATAAAATGACAAATTTATCATTTTGATAAATGAACTGTCAAACTCTGTATGGAAATCGGGTTGACCTCTTGACGACTTGTAAACTTGTGTAAACTTGACGAGGATGCTAAGAAACAGATATGTTTACATAAATTTTCACTTTTTTAATACTTGTATTTTAGAAATTTGTTGTTTAAATTTTTTGCACTTCCATTAGCAAATTTTCATATAAAAAGGGCAGCTATCACTTTTACTTGCATAAATTGACGATATTTGCAATGTTCACGTGTGATTTGTGTACATTAAATGTATTTTATTTTATTTTTTAAAAATTGCAGTATTTTTCTTTAACAAAAAAGAAGGGTGCTACCAGATGTTGCAAACCTAAGGACAGTAAAATACCCAACTTATATTTCATAATGACCTTCACAACATAAGGGAAGATTGGAATATGTCCTTTTTAGACACCTAAAAAATGTTCAATTATGGCAATTCTTTTAACAAAAATTTATGTTTTTCTTTGAAAAATACATAATATAATCTTTTACCATACGCTATTATGATTCGATTCTTTGTATAACGTAAGAAAAAAACATTAAAAAAAAAATGTTATATACCCCTGAGAAAAAGTCCTGTAAATAGAGAAACGAGAATTATACATATTAAGGGTTATGATCCTGAAGCGCGGCCAAATTGCGCAGAAAGAAATTGTGCTTAGAAAAAACTTCGGCGCAAAAAAATGCTGAGAGAGATGTTCTCTGCAAAAGGTGTTCAGCCCCTTTTCTTCGCAGGCTTATAATCGCGCGATTTTTTATTCAAAATTTTAGCCTGCGGCGCTATTTAAAGAAAAATCAAAAAAACCTTATAAAAGGGAAAATTTGGAAAATTTTCGCCTACGGCGCTATTTAATTTGTAATAAAAGCCAGTATTTCATAAAACCTAAAATGTGAAGTTAAAAAAAAGCGATATTACTTTTGACATTATTAAATTCGTCTGACAGCACCAACTTCTCTTCACATCTCTACACAACTTCTTGGCTCGAGGCAATATCAGGAGCCGTGGACGACCGCTGGCGACTTAGCCTCAGTATAACCGGCATTGTGCCATTTACTAAGAAAAATAGCCCTACCGGGCATGAGGAACATTACCTTGGATGGGATCGTGGCCAATGTCGCCAGCGAAGTGAAGTAGTTAGGATTAATCCTGGACTCCAAGCTGTTATGGAAGAAACACGAAAGCATTAATGGTATGTAAGCCCTGAAAATGTAGCCCCAGGATCCTAAGATAGGTTTTCTGACAACATCCGATGAGGCGGCATTTGGAGTATTCTAGAGAAAGATTTTGCGGAAGATTTACGGGCCTTTACGCGTTGGCGACGGCGAGTACCGCAGACAATGGAACGATTGGCTGTGTGAGCTTTATAACGACATGGGCATAGTGCAGCGAATTAAAATACAGCGGATCCGCTGGCTTGGTCATGTCGTTCGATTGTACACCGACGCTCCAGCTCTGAAAGTATTCAACTCGGAACCTGCTGGTGGTAGCAAAGGAAGAGTAAGGCCCCCACTGAGATGGAAAGACCAGGTGGAGAAGGACTTGGCTTCAATTGGAATTTCCCAGTTGGCACAGAAAAGAAACGACGAGAAAATATGGCCTTGGTAAATACTATAGCTAATTTCTTCATAATTGGTGTTGCAATAATTCTTTAGCAAAAAATACGTTTATAATAAAATTTTGGAAAATGAACGTGGCAGCGCCCTCTATGACCACATATGCTTATCGATAACAAAATCGATAAATAATCGATACTAGAATCGATAAAAATATCTATTACAAAGTCGATAGGTAATATCGATAACGAAATTGATAAATAATATCGATAACAAAATCAATAATAATATCAATCAGCCCAATTCTGAATACTCCCAGGGAGTTTGTTCTCCGGGAATTTGTTTCTCCCGAGAAATCAATCCTCCAATAATTAACTCCCAGGAAGTAGCAATTTTCTCGAAAATTTGGAAGGAGAAAATTCAAACTTCGCAAGAGCTGTTTGATACTTTTTCGACAGCTCAACTCCAATATTTAATATAAAAAATGTGCAGAGAATTTTTATTCATAATAGGAGGAAAGGGAAAAGAGAGAAAACTCGCAGGGAGTTCCTGTTCAGAATCGGCCTGAATAAGAAAATCTATAAAAATATCGATAACAAAATCGATAAATATAACGATGAAAATAAGTGACCAATCCATTGCATATTTTTTTCTCGTAAATGCTTGGATGGGATGCTAGCACATATAACACCTATTTTGAAAATTCAATTAAAAGAACGGCTAATGACCAAACGATGAAAATAAGTGACCAATCCAGACCAATCGATGACCAATCGATTGCATACATTTATTTTTGGTAAATGCTTGGATGGGGTGCTACATAATGGAGCCCATTTGCTCTGTTGTACCAAAGCCAGCAACTGTACCAAGTTTCCGAGAAATTGGTGGAGCGGTTACCAATATATATGTACACATGTAATCATAAGTGGGCGTGGCTACGCCCATTTTCCAAAAATTTATAATACTCCTATTTTTCGTCTAAAAATCATTGTAAATATTAATTTTGAGTGAATAATCTTCAGTAGTTACTAAAATATCGCAGTTTTCGTATTTCTGAAAACTACCGTTATATAGAAGGTAGGCGTGGTTACTTTCCGATTTTGCCCATTTTCAGTACCATCCATCCTACGCCCGAAAGAAGTGCACGTACAAAGTTTCGCATACACAGACGGACGAACGGATGGACGGACAGACAGTCACCCCGTAATCTATTTCTCTTTTCATTCTAATCATTTATCCATACTTTTGCCTGTCTCTCGATTCGTTTTGCCTGTTACAAACAACCGTTATGTGAACAAAGTTATATTACCCTTGTGCACAAGTTCACTCGGGTATAAGAAAAAACAACTACGGGCCAAAGTCAGAGAAATAACTACCAAACAACCGAATTCGAAAATATAAAAGAAAAACAGCCAAGTTTGGTTGGAAACAACGAACAGTGGGAACCGTGAACAGCAACGGCAATCAAATCGACAGTGGCGGCATTAAGCAAAGGTACTATAATTTGCGCTCCGTCGATAACGGTGTGCGCGCATTCATTATTTTTGCTATATGTGACGGTTATCACATGTAT